GGGGGGGGGGGGGGGGGGAAACAAAGATTCATTATTATGGTAGCTGCAGATCCTGCAGTTCAACATCAATAAATTTCCTGAAGAAACATCACTGTACGGACATAATCCAGTTTACACATTGAAATACTATTTTTCTAATGTTCATTACATTACCTTCCCATCTATGTCTAGGTCTCTGAAGAGGTCTCTTCCGCTGGTTTTAGCATTTGTTCTTTCTTAGCTAGAAAATTCTGCTCTGCACTTAATGTCTCAAGTACTAAAGATGCACACCAATTAAGTTCATTATATCTCTATACTCTCAACCCATGTAATTTCAAAGATTCTTATACAGTTTAGTATAGCAAGGGACATATATGTTTACTGTGTTAACCACATTTCAAACTAAGCATGTCACAATCTAGAGTTAGAGTTCATGTTCTTCTTAAAGCAAACTATACTAAGATGAAATTGCAAAAGGGTTTTGTCATGATTATCAGCTGTGACACAGCATAATGACCACATTATGGATTAAACAGTTGCAAAATAAGAAAACAGCAAGGAATGTACCGACAACAGAACAGAAAATTGAAGACACAAACAATATAGAATTCATCTTTCATTGTGGAAAGGTGGCATATTTTGTGTCAGATAACATGTTAAAAATTTTGATACAGAATTAAGAATGTTTTGTATCACAATTCGGCTACTCACAAGCACCATCAACGTCATAATTGGAGAGGTCATTGTGTATCGTGCGAGAAAACTCAAGGATGTTGCACCACTGGTCCTTGTTGATCACTTTGTACTTAGAGTGCTCAAGGAAGTTGTTGAACTGCCCAAAAAGGGCCCAGTGTTTGCCAAGCAGTAGTTGCAGCATGGCCTTCGCCGTCTCAATGTCCATACTCCGCTGGTCTTTGTCCTGCTAAATTAAAACGTGCTCAATAAGAAGTTGGGCCACTCTCTAAACACAGATTTTTAATATGGTAGTATCGCTAGTGCTACTTAAAGTAATATCCTGAAATATTCTGTGACTGATGTTTTCTCAGAAATATGAAATTTTTATGATACTCCAATCTGCAGTACATATACTTTGCAAACACATTCTTTGTTGTTGTGCATCTGACAATTCTCTTGATGTTCATGTATTGCAGACAGAAGTCTACTCTGTCAAACATATAACATCTTGAAAAGTTCTGAATAAACAGTGTAGATATTATTGCACAAATGTGTTTTTGTGCAATGAATCACTTTCAAGATGCTCAATACAATTTTATTTGAGTTTAAGATAAATGGTTGCGAACAGAGCAAAATTAAATTTGCCTGACAATATCAGCACAGAACACAATACCAAATTCAATCAAAATCTGCTGAGTTCTTGAGATGAAGCACAGACAGACACACACCTCATACATAACAAGGAATTCAATATAATTTACCCGAGCAAAGTCATAAGCGTATCTATAGATGCTCTTGAAAGTGACTTGGTCGTTGAGCAGTGACCGGAGGTAGTCAAGTTTACTCTGCACCTTACCGATGCTGTCGCACCTGGGGCACACAAAACAATCAAATCAGCCCCACACACAACTTAATACAACAAAATGACTTGTGTCAGGGGAGTGGGGAAAATGAAAGTGTCATGATATCCAGAGTTATGCGATGTAACATAAGGTAAACCACTGTCATATTTTGACATTAAGACATCTAACTTTATGTTCTAGCAGACAACAGACAGTATAAGACTCTATCAAAAATAAAAAATCTGGAATGATCAGACAATCTGTTTTACACCTCACGTCAGCCACATTAAAAATTTCCACCACATTTTCTATTCCTTCATTCACTATTATGGATTGTTGACATTCTTTTCTCACTTTGTTTACTTCACTATATGAAAAATTACTGTTTGCCCACTCCACGCATCCCTCAAACTTCTGTTATGCTTTCCTCTCTCTTACAGTCACCGAGCTACTCTGTTCAAACAAATGTTGGCAGCGACAATGTACACTTGCAACCAGCACTTTGGGATGCCAGAGGGGACCCAAGGGGACTACAATATGCACAGAGGGGGACGCTTAGAGTATTGTGATCGTGACTACCTTATAAAGACCACAGTGTAGTAAACATCACTGATATCTACATTTAATTTACCAATATCAGTTTAATACTAAAAAAATATTAAACTGTCCAGCAATGTGCTATGGATTTGGAATCCGAAGTCTTTAATCTCCTTTGCCGAACAAAATATCCAGTATAATTCTCCATTTCAATAATTATAATTAAGCAATTTCCTGTCTATTCTGCTGCACAAAATGAACATAGGAAAGATGTGATGACACAGGTACTCTGTTGTAATACTGACTGTAGCTCCATGAGCCCTCTCAGCCACTCCTGCTGTGTGAAGAAACCCATCTGGCGTGCATTCATCTTCCATGCTAGCACGAGCATTGCGACATTCTCTGGTTCCACACCAATATCTTCACAGAACTTTTCCATGCCTTCTGGACCTATAACCAAAGACAGAACAGAGTAGTCATCCAGTTATCCTCAGTCCATACCTAATTAAACCTCTGTTTAACATCCAGCACGGCTTCGGATATAAAGCTCAACAAGTTCAATCAACTCACAGCATCTTAATATTAACTTCTCATAAATATCTTTCTGTATGTGAAGACTCCTGTCACTTATCTAACGCTTGATGGTGAAGCTGAACTACCACGCAACACGTAATCTGTTGCTTCAAAAATCATGCACCAACTCACCTAGCACATCAGGATCATCCGGAGACGTATACTCTCGAAACCAGGCGATACATCGTTTCTGGCTAAATGACGATGTATCCTCAGTCTTAGAAAACCGTCGTAGACTGAAACAAGTAACATACAGTACAATGCTATGATGGTTAATGTCTGTATATTAGTTAATGATGCTTAATCAACTGCATATGTCAAAAATGTTCTGAATGGTGATATGGGAAGGATATGATTATATCCTGTTTTAGGGAACCGTTGCAGCGTTTGGCTTGAGGGAGTAAGTAAAACTAGAAAACCCCAGGATAAATGCTGAACCTGGCTAACTTGTTGAGTATGTCCCAAATATAAGTGAATGATGTTAAAATTACACCATATAGCTCAGGGTGTTGTAACATACATATAGCAGAGTCCTGCCTGAGAAGCTAACAATAGCTAAGCTAGTCAAATTATTTACCTTTTATGGAACTAGAAGGTCCATTAGTTTGTTCAAAAGAACCTGCCAGTGGTCCACCAATTATCTGATTTATGATCCATTCTACTATTATCATCCCATCTATGACTAGCAAGTCCTCTCTTCCCTTCAGGTTTTCTGACTAAAATTTTGTTCACATTTCTCACCTCTACTAACCATCCTCCAAGCCCCATCAATATCATCCTCATTGATTTAATCACACCAATAGTTTGGTGAAGATTACCACTCTGTTCTATAACATTCTCAATGAGTGTTCTTCCCTTAATGTATGAGACCAAGTTTGACACCCATATAAAATTAGAGGGTTTTTTTTGTTTCATAACAGAGATGTGAGTATACCAGAAATGAGCATTACTCACTTCAAAACACCAATTCTCAGTTCTCATTTAATGGAATTAGAACTCAAATATTCAACACCACAAAAATAAAATCATCTTATCCAGACTTTTTCCTCTATCATTCGGTTTAGTACCATTTTCCCACCTGTCTTTATCTTCTACATCTCAAACCACAATTTTCCAGTTTATTCATGCTCCTACACACATAACAATGCTGTCAAACTCAATAAAATGTTGTGACGTTGAATGTGTAGGAAAATACTCGTGTCTCCTACTTTTTTCTTAGTTATGTTTATAAGAAACAATACAGAGCCTTTCACTGTCCTTTTCATGTGTCTACATGAATGCAGTCTTAATATGACAGATTTTGGTCACATTTAACACATGAAATCTACAATAGAAATTTTCATTAAAAATCTAATTTCAAACAAGACATTTTCCAATAAAGGTAAAAAATTCAAATCTTAAACCATTTGTCTCATGTTGGTGAAACTCAATATATGCAACCTACATTGAAAGTTAATAATCAACATATATTCTGAGCCAGTTAGGTCTACCAGTGTTGCCAACACACAAAGACAAGGTACTGTTGCCTTTTTGTGACATTAGTAATAATGTTTCAGTGCATCTATGGCCTCTTTCTTTTGTATTCTGTTTCAGTTACTCCACCGACATTTAGACACTACACAATACACACAAACTCATCACCTAGATCTGTCCCCCATACAGCTGGACGTACACGTACCCTGACCAACTGTGTCAGCAGTGGCTCTTGGCACACCATCATGCAGGCTATATTTAGCCTGGCAAAGGCTACAGCCAAGACCAACATAGATGTATGACAGTTCTAACCTCAAAAATATCACACTTCCCACTCACTACATTTTGTTGATACAGATGCAGTTTAATTTAATGAAACTTAATTTTAACCCTTTAAAACAATAATTACTATATGTACCACGTGCTTTAACATTCACAAACTCTGCATTTCTGCCACAGAATATCTCTGTTGGTTTCATCTTATTTTCACAATAAATGGATATTATGTCCCTAATCAAAGTTAACCAAATGATTTTTGTAATGGAGATGTGTTGACTTTTCTTTGAGGAAGAAAATAAATTATTAAATATTATTTACATGAGATTCATGATTCAGTGTGTTATGAGGTTTTCAAACATTTTATGACTGAGAGAAAAGTCACAAGAGATTTCCTAGGAATTCCTTATGGACATGGTATAAAAATGTCTGCATGAAATTGGAACCTCATTACCATGCTGTCCCATCTTGTGACCCCTGACATACCCCTATCCATCTGATGTGGGCAAGACACCAACATCACCCAAAAGGCACTAGATGACTGGGACAGTGGGGAAAAGATGAAGCTTATCCCCCATCATTGCCTTCTTATCATGTCTTTCATGGCACTGTTTAGGTTGGTTTTCATTTGCTAGTATTACTTGTATATGTATCTGTATGTTTTTCAAAAATGTTCACATACTTTGAGTGGTAATAATAAAAACATAATTTATTTCTCTTAAGTCTCCTGGGCTGTAATGCCATGTGAACCTGTCAGTAGGTACCAACATTTGCAGGAGCATTATGACTCCATCTTCAGAACTGAAGTCCTCCTCTGAAACACTGGTAATTATTGACAATTCCATGCAGTGTTTTAACCCAGAAGACCAACTCTGACATCTTCACAGCCATAAGAACCTCAAACCTCATGGCAAGTATTTGTTTCTAATCTTAATTAACACACCAATACTAGACTCTAGCTTCTCACCAATGTAACATTCCTTCACAGTTAATGTTATGAAGATGTCAAGGCCACTTTCCAAATGATAAAGAGCTAATTATCCTTGAATTCTGCTACAGCACACAATCTGACAAGCCACCTGCAACTACACAGAGTATGCAAGCTATAATCACTGACTTTATTTCTATACAAACCAGCAATACAGCAGATGGCAGGCAATAATCCTGTACAGCCTTCTCGGTACCACACCACACTAATTGGTGAATATTGGTCGTGTGCCGGAGGAACTTCATGCCTGTCTCTGGGCATTATTACACAACAATTAAAAATGTGATAGACAATTAGCATATAGAAGAATCACTGATGATTTTCTTACAGTGGTGGATTAAGTAACTAGTGCGTCAGAACAAGGTGCTGATGGGAAATTTATAATTAAGAAAGAAGTAATATGAGGATGGCAAAAATTACAAAATGAGGAATTCGTAACTTGTGCTCTTTGACTAATTTTGTTAGAGTATTCAAATCAAGCAGGATTGAGATAGATGAGATGCATATGAAGTAGATCCTCAATGGAGGAGAAAATCTGGCAGAGCTGGGCACATACAAAAGATATTATTAAGATGGAGCTCTGAGAAATACACTGTGAATTAGATTCAGCTGTCTGGTTTTGGCTTCCATGAAAGCAATAAACATCTTACCAGCTGACAGACTGTAAATGTTGCAAGAAAGATGCTTGCCACGGTAACAGTTTTGACATTTCTTAACAAAAAGCATTCAAACAAACTCACCTTAACACAAACAGAAACAAGCTTAAAACAGAAGAGACTAGCCCCTCAAACACAAAAACTATCCAAAATAACAATAACTTACTTTGGAAAGCACATACTCAATACATTATCCACAAATAAGCTCAGCATTCTTTGTTATAAGGACTGTCTCATGACTCATGAAAGCAGTAACTTTAAAAGTAGTCCACTTTACTTACTGCCTTTCAGTCATGTAACATGGAATTATTTTCTGGGGAAACTTGGCAGAAAAAATTTACAGTGGAACCACGGTTCCGGAGAATCTGACGTAAATACGTCTCTGTAATGCAATGTAATGAAATGTAATAATCCTTATATAAGATAAGTATTTGTGATATTCTAAAACATTATCTACTCTACCACGCACTTCTCCTACAAGCGATTCACAGCTCAGCTCTTTCCACAATAACGAAAGCGGATTGTTGACGGCAGTAATGTAACAACAATGCCAAGTACACATATGATGCAACAATTAGTTTCTTAGGTAACATAACAATGCACGCAGGAGTTCATATAAAAGCTGCCCATTGTTGTCGGTCCATATTTACACACTGCTGATATGGATCTTACACAACTTCGTTACACACCTTCATTACGCTTTTTTGCCGAATGACCCTTCCGCATAGACGTATTTATATCAAAAAGTATTTTACATCCAAAAGAAAATTATTAGAATAATGGCAAACACTAAAAGGAGAGCCTCATATAGGGGTTTAATAAATTTAAAATCCTTCCATTAGTCAGAGAATTCTTGCACTCATTATTATCATTTGTAGTGGACAACACAGAAAAATTTCAAACTGAGATATCAACAATATAAGTACAAGATAGAGATATATCTTTCATGTGCCAAAATTAAAAAATGTAAAAAAGGAGTTTACTATATTGGAATTAAGCTACTCAATAATCTACCCCCCCCCCCCAAACTATAAATAGTCTAAATCACAATGTAAATAAGTTTAAACCAAAACTAAAATAATGCTTCCTATATAACTCCTATTCCAGAGAAGAATTTACCTCAACCAAAAATTCTCAGCTATTTTAAATATATGTAAGAAAGAATGGTTATGCTTTGTGTAATAATTTTTGCAGTAACAATATAGTTCAATGTCATAAACAAGTATTGTATATGTGCTATGACACATTCTACATCCTTGGCTTGGGCCTGCGAAGGATCTATGGAAAGCACATAAATTATATTCTATTCTAAAACTGTGGTCCTAACCTTGTGGTATTCCTAAATCTCTTGTTACAATGCCTGTCATCATCATCTGGACCCATGTCAGCAGCACTGCGTCGCTTGCTGCGTGGCATGGCAGGAGTGCCGGGACTGGGGGTGGATTCCACTCCCCACTCGTGATGGCCTGCCTCCCACACTTCCTGCACAAAATAAAAGGATATACCTTTAAGGGCTTTATTGTTAATGCTGAAAGCCCACATCCAGCAAATATATTTTGTCACAAATTTTATACCTCATTACAATACCCTATGGTACTCACCACGGGAGATAAATTGTGTATGTGATAGAGAAATGGAAAATTTCTATTTAGGTGGTCCGTTTTGATGCTGTATGCAGATGTTGGTCATAAATGGCTGTTCAAGCAGTCCCCTAGTGTTAAAACATTTCTGATGCAACCTGTACAGAAGGTCACACTACCATTAGACGAAAAGAAGTATCCCTTTCTCAAATTTTGGTCACAGGGGCACGTGATTTGTGTATGGTATTAGTTTTTTAAAAGTTTCAAAATCACCATTTACACAGAAACGAGGTCTACTCATTTTCAATCCAAATTTAATTTCGAAGTCTCTATTCGCCTAATTCCATTACATATCAACGATATATTTTACTACTTATTCCATGTACGTATGTTTTATAATAAGACATCTATCAAATTTTGCAATTTCGTGATGGAAAACATCAAAATTGTACCTGTACATCAATCACCCTAATATCTCCCTCCCTACCTGATTTCGTGCTACCTTTTTGACAAAACTTGTAATTAAAGTAAGTATAGTTGATAGGTGTAGCTTTTATTTCTACTTGAAATGACAGTTTTTAAAAATATTCTTAATACTCCACATCAGACAGGTACTCAATACCAACTACAACCAATACATGAATTCAAGCAGATAGAAGTACAATATTTTCTCAACAGATGGTACTGCTACATACATCACAACCGAGACTGCAATCTTGTGGACAGTCTAGAAATATACTGTGGGATAATAATTAAACTTTCTATCGATTGGATTTACGGGTCCACCAACCTCACCACATCACCAGATACTTATATTTCTAGTTCAGATATGGCTAAACGGTTCTTAGCCACAAAAGTTGATTATGAAAGGTTCTGACGACGGTGTAATAAATTTAAATTGTTGGTCGTTTGGACCTTGGCCGTCGTCAGATATTATTAATACACAACATTTCTTGAACTGGATCCCAATCACTCGACCAATTCAGTGATTCCGGGTTGTTGCGCTATGTACTCTGCATTCACATGCTCGTGAAAGATACTTAAGATCGGCACCGCTCTGCGACCGAACAGGGCAAGGCAAATCAAATATGCACATTCTACACACTTCATTTGCATTACTACGTATTCCACGGGGTTAATTTGTGGGTTGTAGGCACGTTTTACTTCTACTGGAGGTCCAAGTATGCATCGTCTGACAATACAGCATTCACAATAGTATGTTGGTATTGGTTTGATCGTGTTATGGTGATCTTTGGTCATGAAATGGCGGATGATTGTAGTTGGAGTTTCTTAGAACAGTATACTCATATGCTATCTTGCTTATCATGGATATTTTTATTTGCAATATACTTGTGGATAATGAAGAAAGTTTGCACGGTGCTATAATATCGTGTGGCAACTTGCGTTCCAACTGAGTTTTCGTAATTTAAAGTAATTCAACATTAATTGTATCGTGTTGAACCTCAAATGAGAGTCATATGTGTTGTGTGTATGTAAGCGGTAACTGTATTGGCTACAAAATAATCTAATTGTGATAGGTCTGGTGTAGATTGAATAACTTTTTACAGTTTGAAAAGGACATAGTCAAAGAACATGCAAAAGCAATTACTTTACTGAAGGAAGATCAGCATGTTGATATAATGAAGCATGAGAAACTTCCAACTAGTGTGATCAGACATGTGATTGTAAATGGATGTAAGGTGGATTTTTTATATCCTTACTTTTTTCATGTATCTAATTTAATCGTTAGATATTTGTCAATACCTGTTTGCATTATTTCTTTACTGACAGTTGTTGAGGTAGTAAGAAATAAATTTGCTCAGTTATTAATCTGTATTGCCCTCAACTTGCACATATTGTAACAAATTATTGGTTACATGTCATGAATCCTGTTTACAAAATTAGGGTGGACCATAATCCATGGTTTGAATCCCTCACACAAATTGAGTATTTGTCTCATAATCACAGAATTACTTATAGAGTGATTGCACTATCTGGATAAGTTATAGGTGAAGTGAGTGAACTGTTCCAGTTGAAGAAAACAGCTGTAGACTGTGACCTCATCACACGCCACTTGGAGTTGAAACATCTTACATCAACTTTAACTGATGTAGCCACTGCATATGTTATTTAATGATATAATTCCTAATTTACAGTCATTTGTACTAGTAGCTTTGCTGAAGGTTTTGTATGTGACAAACTTGCACTCAATGAAGTGTGTTTAGGTGTAGCAACTTGTCACTTTAGATTTTCATTGAAAGCTATGTTTCTTCCTGGTTGCAGTATATTAATCTAGAATAATAAGTGTTTTCTGTTCAAGTTTTGACATTGCTGAGCAAAAATAATTTATGAATAGCATTTCTCTTCCTGATATGAAAAATTCTTTAGTTCTAAAATATCAAACAGGAAAACAATGTTTCTATGAATATGAACAGTGCCCACACAAATCAATAAAGCTGTGTTTGACCCATATCTGTATATAAGTGATAAAGAGTTGCTGATTCTGGGGACATTTCTAGCAAACAGAATTTTGTTTCCAGTTTTATAAGGGATGTGAAAACTGGGAAGCAGGTGGACATGAAGTAGCACTGTATACAGAAGTGTGAAAAATGCAGTGTTATTATGTTCAGATCCATCCATCCAATGGCTCTACAGCCCATATCAGGCCTTGGCCTCCTCAATTTTCTGCCTCCATTAAGATCTATTATTTGCGGCCATTTTCCAATTTCGACATTAGATCAGACCGGCAGCATCCCGTCTGATAACTTGCAGTATTATGAGCCTGCATATTTGTCTACTTGTCTATCCGTTACATTTTCCAGTAATAAGGGTTTTTTTGGCTGTAAATATTTAGCACAATGTATTTTTGACTGAAATATAAATGTGGAATGACTGAAGTTCCTATTATATTAGGCTGTTTACCTCATTGTTCAAACTTTCAGTGATCAAGGACAGAGTTCAACTATTGAGGGTGTACAGTACGTGCATATGAAGCTGTCCGCATATTACAGGTAATTCTTTTGTTCTTGATAGCTACTGAGCTAATCAGAGAGTTGCACTATTCTTTTAAACCCAAAGTTAATCAGTACGTTCACAGTTGCCCACCATTGAATACCTCAGTACCAGTACTTCAGATATCCATTTTAATGTTATTTTCAGATTTTCATTGACAATTTTTTAATACTTTTCTCATTTTCCCTATGCATGCCACATGCCCAATTATGTTTTAATATCCCAAACTTGTAGGCACATACAGATCATGTTTATGTCTTGTATTTAAATTATGTACATCTGTACTTCTTTTAAATTTATCCAAGTTTTCCACCACAAATGATAGCAAGCAGAGTATAAATTCACTTGCAAGTTAAAGTATATAAAATTTACGAAATAATTTTCTACAAGAAACACTGCTTTTGACACCTGCCATTATTCTATTTATTTTCTTTTGCGTGTAAAAAACTTAATTACCGTCTGTTAAATTTCACAAAAAGATTAATCCGTATGACACTACAGAGTGAAAGTAAGCAAAGTAAACTAGCTTTAAACTATCTATTGTCATGAGTGGTAAGACTGTTCTCATGGCAAAGCATGCAGAGCTTAATTTGGGAATAATATACTCAATGTGTTTCTTCTAATGTAAGGTATTGTAAGCCAAGGAATTTGTTTGCTTCAACTTCCGCAATTAATTTTTCTTCAAAACCTTTTTTTCGGATTTATGGGGTTAGGTGTGACCTTGGTTATTTAGAATTGAAAAATTGACAGTGGAACTACGGTTCCAGAGAATCTGACGTAAATATGTCTTTGTATTTAAATTATATTTAGGCAATAAATACAATGAAAGGAAGTTTATATATTAGCTTTATTCCAAATATTCCGTTTTACGTGCTTTACAATGGAGTAAATAGTTTGATTAAGACACTGCTCATTTAACTATCCCTCATACGTTCAGCATTAGTTTTTGGTAATTTTTTTGGGGAACTTAGGGTTCATTATTTAATACTTTTATTTTTTTACGTTTTCTGTACTGTCTCATATATTCTGCATTACGGACTCTTTTAGCTTCAATGTCATTCATCTTGTTATTTCTACACAGTATGACGCAACACACAAACGCGGCAGTAGCGTGAAATGTGATGCGCCTTTATTTGTATAAATAAATGTTTGTAGAACCTAAACCATTTGTGATATGTAAAATCTGAAAACAGATATGGAAAGCTCAAGAGGTATTACGTATTTCGTCTGCAATATGTCCAGAGCCATGTCTTACGGTTTTCGAGAGGCGGGCTCTTAACGCGCCAGATGCATTGAAAATTGTACACATTGGTTCATTAAAATTACAATAAATGTACAAGCAATTATAATTACAACAAAACACATTACAGATTCTTAAAGGTCCTTATTTACTGATCATTTTACATATAGGTTACATTACCCTTACTCTTACCATTCCTGAAGAATGAACATTTAAAGGTGACTCGGCGCTGGATCTTACACATCTTCATAACTAACGCTGTTTTTGCTGAATGACCCTTCCATATAGACGAAGGGATCCTGGGAGATGCTCCCTCAACCAGATGTTAAGTTTCTTCACAATGGCAGGACAAGATTTCCAGGATGATTCTCGCTCAGCTCCCACTCAACATCATTCACCTCTTGGAATGGAGTTTCTTCTGTGATGATACCCAAACCAAGGCAAATAGGAGAACCAATCATGAGAATCTTATTCAGTTCTCAACGAAAGTGTAAATATTAGTATTTTAAATACTAATATGTACTAGACAATTTATTGAGATTAAATTTTCACAGAAGCGCATTATCCAACAAGGCTACAAATTCCAGACCTAGTTGCACATAACATACCCCAAACTGAGTGTCCACACAAGAAATCCATGTGGTCACTGTACAGAGGCTGGATTCCAGGCAAGCTGCCCACTATGGCTGCCATCATGAAGGATCTTCATCACCGGGAACAGCAGTTTCTTCAGTGCAGCCATAAAACTCTGTCAATAAAGAGGACAACTTATAGAAGGACTTTCAACTGCTTCGATCACAATTAATAATCATGAATGGTGGATCTCCAAACTTGTCCCTTAGAATAGAATTTTCTTATGTGGTCTCTGTATGCTTCTAAACCCAAGTAACAGAATGTTTTTGGAAACATGTTTGACAACAAAAATTCACTGGCAGTCCAGCTGCAATCAATGTGTCCATTCCTTTCTCATGTGGCATATAGAATGTCAGTCCTACGGTACGATAAAATCATACAATGCACTCCAATCCCTACGCCAGGTTAATTTTACTTGATTTTTAGCAAAACCAAACCCAATGAGAAGGAGCTTTGTGGAACAAAGAACTGCCATTACCACGTGACGTTATGAACCGAGGCCATATTCTATAACTCCTGTCACTTCTCCCGTACCTTAAATTCTTTTCTAACAATTTCCAAATTTATAGCTGCAACTGCAAATAAATCGATCAGCAACCAGTTTACTTCCGAGTTCTCTTGCTAAAAGTAAAGAACAAGATACCGGTGCCCCAAATCAATAGTACGCTACTAATGTGAAATAAACTATCCCAAGCTACTTCCACAACCATCAAAGACTGCTGCGTAATTAGCGTTCTCCTATACTTAATATTTTACTTCTTTGTCAACTTATGCATTTACTTAAATTTCACTGTAAAATCTATGGACTATAACACCGATGTATGAATAATATCACTTCTCTCATAGTCCATATACCTTGTATGAACACATTCTTAAAATGTATTAATACTATGATTACAAATCGCCAGAATTCCTTACTTTTTAATAACTTCGTTAAAATCTTTTAAAACTGTTTCTTACACTACAATAACTTACTCACAAAATGGCCGTCGCAGAATGGCTGCACGATATTTTTTTCTTTCGTTTGGAAGCACAGATCTCACTGCCATCTGCATGTGATACAAAATATTGTACGAATATGATTTCGGCGTCGGTGGCCTTGATGACATTCTACTGGATAGCCTATGGTCAGCGAAAATAATGCGAATATCCAGAACTGTTATCCTCCCACCTGCGTCTAGTTCTCTCCAGCAGTCTCTTCCCTTCAGACTTCGCAACTATTACCCGGTGCACACCTCATGCCACATGTCCTGCCCATCTCATTCTTCTCGACTTATTCACCCTGACAATATTCAGGGGCAAATACCAATTTTTAAGCTCATCATTATTTAGTTTTCTCCATACCAAACCTCTTTTCTCCTGGGCTCAAATATCCTCCTCAACACCTACAAAACGTGTTCCTCCCTAAGAATAAGAGACCATGTTTCACACACATACAAAATTATTTTCTATATTCTAATCTTTAGGTTATTAGAAATCAGATGGGAAGGCAAAATATTTTGAAATGAAAAGTAGCAAGCAATTCCAGAATTAAGTATCCTCCCAATTTTCTCAAGAATATAATTTTTATTTGTTATTGTTCCCAAATACTTGACTTTTGTCACACTTTCAAAGGATTTATTAGCTACCCTAATATCATTTTGCCTGCCTGTCAGCTGAAGAGGTACTAACATGTTTTCTTAATTTATTTCTAGGCCAACCTTTCTACTACCTTCTAGTAAAACTTCTGTGTTCCTCTTCATTGTATTTATATCACCCAATAAATTATCATCATCAGCAGCAGCAGCATCATATTCCGTTGCAACCGGACTACACAACGCAACAACCCAGAAGCAGCCATCGTCAGACATTTCCGTCTTCAAATGAAGGCAAAGGAAACAATTATAACAAACAAACAAACAAACAAACAAACAGGAACATCTTCACATTTTCAAGCATCTTGGATCCTAAATGTTCCTGATTATTTCACTACAAACTGGGCATTACAGTCAATCCCTGAGAGTAAGAAACATTGTTTCAGAACTATAAAAATAAAAGTTAAAATGACTTTCTCTTATGTTATTGGTGTTCAACGATCAACTTCGAACACCACAGTTGATTAACACAATGCACAGAAAGCAGATAATAACATGCAAATCACTTTCATTCTTTTTTTCAAAAGACACAGTGAATGGAGGAAAAAATTTGCTGAAAATAAGGATGGTTTGCTTAACATCACTGTACTGTGTGTTTTGTCTGTCGGCGACTGTACTTGCTGCAATAACAGCAGATTGGATATGTTACGTATGATGCAAAGTGATGTATATGTAAACGGGATAAATATTAGGTCTCCCAAAAGCAATAATAAGATTATATGTTAAACATTACATATGAAGACATATTTCACAATATATAGAAATTAGGATCTGATAGAATGTAAAACAAAGTATTTATTAAGAAGATGTAAGAAATGAAGATATCATTCAATGTATGAATGCGGAGGGAAGGGGGTGGCAGGGGAAAAAGTCATTTTAGGGCAATAGCAATGCCAAACACACACAAAATTATAGATATTAAAATAGTTACATATTATTATCTGCAATTTCTGATTAAGACTTATACCTACAAAAGAGCTAGACTAAAGATAAGGGTATGGAGATTCACTTACATTAAACAGTAGGAACTGAGGTTCTCATAGCAGCAAATACGAAGATGGCTGTCATCTGGGTTAGAACACTATGTAGTCTGGTAAAAGTTTACAATGTTTCAAAGGTACTGGGTTCCTTCATCATCAGGGCAATGACTGAGAGGACAGCCATCTTCTTAGATTAAATAGGACAATATGAAGGTCCTGCAAAATGAACAGAACATTTACAACACTGCAAAATGTACTACAACAGCCATAAAATCAATTACACTCCATTATCTTTAATACAACAGCTACATCTAAATTTATGTCTTATAATAAAAGAACACAAATTACAGTTAATAATTAAATAAGCATCCTACAACAAGGTTCATGATGGCTAACTTAACTCTTATCCATCTAACAAAGCAATTTAGTTCCTAATACTTTGCATACTCCAGATGTACTTCTATGTCTAGTAAGATTCCCCCCTTGTGTGAATTCCTTGTTGCACATTTCACATTTATACGGCTTCTCACCAGTATGTGTACGCCTATGTGTCACAAGATAACCGCTGTCCGAGAAAGCTTTATTGCATATTTCACATTTGAATGGTTTCTCTCTCGTATGGGTTCGAAAATGTCGTTGCAAAGTTTCCCTACGAGAGAAATTAGTTTTACACAGATCACACGTATATGGTTTCTCTCCTTTATGAGAGCGCCGATGTCTTGCAAGGTTCCCACTGTGCAAGAATGTTTTACTACACATATCACATTTATATGGATTCTTCTCAGTATGTGTAAGGATATGTAACATCAGATACTTTTTCGTAGGAAATACTTTTTTGCATACCTTACATTTATAATATTCTATTTCACGCGCTGTCTGACAACTCTTATCACATTTCCCAGTTAAACTATTTGGAAAAGATTCAACAGGAAATTCCTGTTTAGCTGGGAAATTGAAATCAACTTGTGTTGAACTGCTATCACCAACCGAGTCATCCTGACAAACTGCAAATTCTTCCAGGCTGTAAGAGAAGAGTGATACTAGAAGTAAAAAACTAAGATGATGCTTTTATGCTTACTGGATGCACATAGGGTCTCCCTTAGGAGTATCGTTTTTGTTCTCATCAAAAAATCCAGGTTTACACAACGCAACACATGACAATAAAAAAAAAAGACCAGTCTGTCCTGAACTCATACTTTCTTCACTAAATGCTGTGATATTTCAACCTTGATCATATTGGAACAGGAGTTTAAACCCTCGCACTACAGATCTTGCTAGCTGGACTTTAGCTTCAGAGGCAATGGTTTAGCAGTATGCTACTGTGACACATGACCACTTGGATTAAGCACAACCTGTGATGCACGGCCAATAATGTCTCCATGTACACTGGTACTATCACAAAATGTAACTGAAATGCCCTATATTCACAACACTTCATTATATTATTGTACCAATGTATTTTATTAAACACTATTTTGTTTGACACTGCTAAGTATATACAATATAAGAGTGAGAAAAATCTCAGAATTAAATGTGTGGAAAATTTCTCCACCTACAAACTCACATGCACAATTTAACAAAGATATTAATGCTTGTGGCTAAAATGCAATATATTGCATAACAAGTGGTACTAGCAGGAGCAAAAGAAATATACACAAGCATGGAGCTGACTTGTTCAAACATGCTGTCATATCTTAAGCGAGGTAACCAGTTCCTCCCACACAATGTACTGTCACCACTGACTGATTGTCCAAGACTTCCTTTTCTTTTAATTACCCATCCTCGGTCATCACCATGCGTATATCAGCAAACAATTATGCTCACATTTGTATGTTTATTCCCTATATAGAAGACTGAAGAGGAAGAAGCAGGAGAACCTAATGCTGATAGTTCAAGGGATACATCATGTATTAGAATACAATATTTCAGAACAAACATCCATAAAACATGAATAGGAAGTCTCAACTCCTATACCATAGGACTGCTGGCCAGACTTAACTCTAGGGTTTAATGGTTTAGTGGGATGCTACTGCAATGCATGGCCAGATGGATGGCACATGGCTGATAATGCTGGATTTAAGAATATGAATGGAGAAAACAGACTGTTACATTCTTTTCACTAAAAATCTCCTGACTTTATATAATAACCACACAAGAGACCTAGAGGCAATAGCAATACTCATGCAGAAAACAATGATTTTATATAGTACTATGAAAATACTTGAAAAGTATTAAAAATGAAAACACTTGAACATGTAAATAAGTTCTAGAAAACCAACATCAAAAAGGAAGACTCACGTTTGTAGAGATACTTCCTGCTCTTTGTTTGATGCATCAGCCTTCGGCGAGTCTCTGTGCACTACAGTATCTTCACAAAACTCCTAGGAGAAACAGAAACCTAATTAAGGACATATATTTTTAAAACAGGTAATTACTGCAAACCACACTTGATTAATTTTAAAAAGAGTGCACAACAGAAATAATTTCAGAAAATCAATATAATAAAAAACTGTATTAATTCCATTATGAAGCTGATTTAAGTATTAGAAATGCCGCAATGCATTTTATTTTATTGTAACACAACTGAACTTCCTCACCAAGTCATTAGCACTGCTAGGTCCAAGATGTGTCTCTGAGATAACTCCTTCTGACATGGCTTTGCGCATCGCTGCTAGAATACTGGATCTTTCAGTGCTAGTGTTTTCATTAAATGCACCTGCACGTGTTTCCAATTCAGAGTCCTACACAAAACATTGCGATCTCAAATGTCAAAATGGAATACACATTTTCCTTGAATCATACAACAATGAAACGAGTTCAGGATTTGGTCTGATGCAGAACTTTTGTGTACTGCGTGAACTTTTGGGCTGTGAAAAAGTAGGCCATTTCTAGAATTGCCAGTTTAACTATATACAAATTTATTACAATAACAGGAATATTTGTAATTTTATATGCCACATCAACAGCAGGTTTCACAATTTCTTATTTCAAACTGAAAGAGTGCAATCTTCCTGCTAGAGGGTAAAACTGTCTTTCGATGTAGCAGCCATTAAAAGAGAATAATGTATCAAACGTGTATCTCATATTTTATATAGTGATGAGTGCATTAAAATTTCTCTTCTGCTTTAAAAAAAAGCAAAGTTAGCTATCAATGTTGTGACTGACCATGGACTGGAGGATCAGAGTTAGATCTGTGACAGTAGCAGACAGTTTCTCTTCTAGCCTGTGTCCAGACTGGCTCTGGGGCTTAACCCAGCCTCCTATCCAATGGGTACTGGGGTCCTTTCCCTGGGGTAAAGCGTGGTTGGGGCATGATGCTAACCACTCACCCCTATCTACTGCTGAACTTAAGAATGAGTAGCAATTGCTATACTGTCTTACCCCAAGTGCTGATTTGGTGTGCAGAGGGATAGCTTTTTTATCCCTCCCAAAAATATAAACTTTACATTTGTGTGATATTTGAATAATTTAAGACTGGTAATATAAATAAAGTACAAGTTAAATCTCCTCTTAAAACAGACGACGCAACTATAGCTTGCAGAGACCAGCTATGGCCACCGAACAACGGGATCAATAGCTAAGTGCAAGTTTTACTCCTGTGAATAATAGCATCTCGTGCAGTGTCACTTCAAAAATCTTGTCATATACTTTTTCATTTTTAATTCTGAATCTAGTTTGAACCATTTGACTAAATGTATTAATTTCCCTTATGCCACTGATGATGACCTCTTGAGGTCAAAACGCATATGGCACTAGTGTCTATCATAGTGTTAATAGTTGTTGGTTTGTTTACTCTATATTCAATCTCCTCTATTTAAGTTTGTATATGAATAAAGGAAATCAAGATTTACCTCAGAATTAATCTCGTAAATTTTGTACTATGTGAATTAATTTGAATTTGATAGTGTGAGAAAAGAAAAATTACACACCATGGCCAAGGAAAAACGATCCATCAAAATAAGGACTCACCTCTTCCAAGATTGTTTCTGGTTCAGTTTTTATGTTGACAACTGTGAACAATGGTAGCACATCACTGTCTGAATCAATTTCCTCTTTAATTGGGTCCATGTTGTGCTGCGAGAAAATAAACATCTAAGTTCATTTAATTGAACATGAGTCTGAATATATTATCCCCCCCCCCAAAAAAAAAAAAATTGACAGTGGAACCACGGTTCCAGAGAATTTGACGTAAATACGTCTCCGTATTTAAATTATATTTACGTCTCTGTAATGTAATGTTATCTTCAATGTCATCCATCTTGTTACAAAAGCGGATTGTTGATGGCAGTAATATAACACAACAATGCCAAGTAAACAGATGACATTTCCTAGGTAACATAACAATGCACTCAAGCTAACCATTGTTGTCGATTTGTTGATACGGATCTTACACATTTTTGCTGAATGACCCTTCCGTATAGACGTATTTACGTCAAAAGTTCTGCATGCTTTGCTATGAGGACAGTCACACCACTCTTGAAAATAGATACTTCAATATTAGTTTACTTTGCTTATTTCCATTTCATCATGTCATATGAAATTATTTTATGAGGAAATTCAACATATAGAAAAATAGTATTTATGTAACATTCAAAAGAACATCATTAGAATAATGGAATGTGGTAAAACAAATCTCTTGCAGAGAACTGTTTATGAAAGTTAATGTACCCTTCCCCATTTCTTTAAGAGCATTCTTAGTCCCATTATTGATGTTTGTTGCAAACAACATACGGAAGTTTCAAACACATTCTGACATGAATAAAATAAACATAACCTTCATGTGCCAAAACCTAACCTCACTAAATATCATAAAGGTGTTTACTATGCAGGGATTAAATTATTCAAAAATCTTCCAGCAAGCATTAAAAATTTAAACCATGATATACAAATATTTAAGCAAGCTACGAAAGATTAATTAACTCATTCCTTTTTCTCAGTACAAAGAACTTCTTCTATGTAAAAGAGTTTACTTCAATTTAAATTGATTAAATACTGTAAACATTTATATAATTACCTGTCTCAACTATGTACTTATAGTTGTATTAGTATTTTATTTGTACCAAGTGTTGGTATTAATATTACAAGTGCCACATCCTTGGTGTGAACTATGAAGGTTCAAAAGAATGTATATAAATTATGTTCTATTATGTGTGATACTGACTCCAAAACAGAATAAAGTACAAAATGTGATACAGCACTGAATTTACACTTACTATAAACGTTATAGACTGTGAGTTTAATTTATGAAATATTAGTTTCAATAACTACAACAGCAGGTCCTGTACAAATTCTATTATAAAAAAAATCCTTAACTATATTACTTCTTCCACCTGACAGAAGACGGAAAACTGCAAATGTACATACTTAATTTGTAACTGGAATATACAATAATATACATACATCTTTATTACATTCCACGTATTCTTAAGTTAGCCAGATGGCAATAAGATGTAGAATAAGTCATAATTATACAATACACATAAGCACAATTTGTACTATTATATCAACATTAATTTTTCCTTGAATTTAAGTTTGATACTGTCTCGGCTGTCAACTGATAGCCATCAGAGGTTCAAAAATGTTATATTCTATAAAATCGCATGTGTTCATGACAAAAAACCACAATAAACACATATCACACTGCTAACCTTGTCTCCGTCAATTATCACCAATACATTACATTAACAGCGCAAGGAAACAAAGGGAATTCACTACCTAATTATTTATCTAAGAAGCACTCTATAATTTGACTAGTATATGACACTATTAGGTCCTGAGCAGACGTACAGTTTTTCGCAATGAAATAATTTCATTGACGATAAATAATACTAAAGCAACGAAACATGTATGCCCTTCCTTTCTATCGATTTTGGCAAGATGTAGGTCGCTCTGATCACAAACCCAGTTCTTAACGATTCCATTATGCCGTGATAGAAAAGAACTATTAAATTGGTTTTGTCGACGCGATTTACTTGTCTTTTACCACAGAATCCACAGGATTATCACTCCAAGAACAGAATTCCATCACTAGATATACTTCAGTTAAAGATGAGTTAATGTTTGTATTCATCCAGTGTTCCTCCAAGCGGAGTTTCTAGTGAATTTCAAGTAAGTGAAATTTTATGCTCTCACGGCGGTGAAGATGTCGATGGTGGACTTGTAGATTGTGACGCAACGTGGATTTGCTGCCTCCATCTCTTGGGCTCAAGGTGGATGTAGTATCTTCCTCTAAAGCGTAGGTACACACCTACAAGTTAATCCAGCAGACCACCACCAACACTTTCATGAATCTGCATTATTTTTGTTTGGCATCAAATCAGAGAAGGGCAAATTGGGCCCTTGAAGACATCCATTTCATTCGTATGGGTTGCCCAAGAAACCAATTTTCTTTATATCAGAGAATATGTTCTGTTGCACCAGACTTTTCATGTCAGATTATCAGAAATCCTGTAATATTATTTTGGTACATCACTTTTTTCAAGTGGTGAATGGGTACACATAAGTAATGATTAAAAGAGAATAAAGTAAAACAAAAAACTGAAGAAAAGTAAAGCTGTCCTGCTGTATGTCATGTTGGTGTTTAGGGGAGAGGAGGTATAGCTCCTACTCATTCTTAACCTTGGTACTAGACAGCCATGAGTGGTCAGCCTCACCCCGGCCACACTTTAAGCCCAGGAGAGGACCCCGGTATCTATTGGACAGGAGGCTCAGTGGGCTCCAGAGCCGGTATGGTTGCAGAGGCCAGAGGAAAAATCCTCTGCCACTCGGTCATCCTCACCTCATCCTACCATCCTACCTCAGCTCCAAGAACATGTGTAATATGTAAAACTGATCTTTTGGACTTTGTTAATCATCTAAACGACAACGAGAATAACAACAATACTAATACTCGCATGTAATTCTTGTCATGGACAACTTAAAGAGAACAGTTTTATGTATTTCATGCACCATCATCAGAGATTTTAAGATTTAGACTAGAGCAAAACGCTCCTTTCTTCTATCAAGGTCATTCAGCAAAAAAGTGTAACGAAGACGGGTCACAAAAATGTGTAAGATCAATATCAACAAATCGACAACAATGGTTACCTAGGAAACGTCATCTGTTTACTCGGCATACAATGAAAGGAAGGGGTTTAAAACACTTGACCGGGGCGTGATGCTGACCACTCACCCCCATCTAGTGCCGAGGTCAAGGAAGAGAGGAGCTATACCTTCACTCACCCCAAATGCCTACATGGCATATAGTGGGACAAACTTACTTTTAACCCCCCCCCCCCCCTCGGTAGGGTTGGTTGCGTTTTAAAATCTTGAGTAAGAAACTAAACTAATCCCCCCCGAATGAACAAAGTGTAGTGATGATGAGACAAGATTTGTTTTAAAGACTCAGTTGTTTACCAGTGATCCATACTTATCTAACATCACCCCTGAGGTATGTGACAGCTCAGTATCACAATCTCATTATCATATCAGGCTTTATCTCTCAGTAAAGGAAGATTAGATTTAAGTTTAGATGGACATTGACAATACATCTTGGCCCTCTCATCTTATGGAGTGTGAGAAGCATAGGAAGATGAAGTGTTCTCTAGTTTGTTTTGAAAGCGAGGAAATATCCATTTGTAGCAGAATGCAACCAGATATATCACAGGATATGAAAAAAAACTCTCAGAGCTGAAATATAGTTAACTGTTCACTACAACAGAGAGGGATTGTCTGTTCATTTGCTTTTGTTTCAGCATGTTCTGTTAGTGAAATGACTGCCTTCTCTCCTGTCTTCATCAAGGGCACATGTATGGACATGTGCCCTGTAAGAGAACGTAAGTTGTAAGTAAACATGAAAAAAAAGTACAATGATAGTTTGATGTGTATGTAGTGGACTCATGTATGATATTTATTCACATTTGTCAAAACATCAGACAAAGCAAACAGAACTTGAAAATTTAACCTACATTTTGGTAGTGTTCTTTCACTTTATTAAAACACCGAACTTAACTTTCTTTGAACACTCTTTGGGATTCTACACACCAACTTCATTTAGTTAAGTTCGTTAACAGTTTACTTCTTTTGTACTGAATTATCATGTTCATTATTTGTTGCAGGAGAGAGAAAGAGGGTCTGCTGCATTTGTTGGAGTTACCCGCTGGTACTTCACTTCAGTCCACACCTACAGCCCACCCTTATCTCACAGTATGTCTAACACTGCAACTTAAAAAATGTACTATTTGACAGTATCTGCAGGACCATGCCTACTATTCTTACTGCAGACAGCATTTGATTTGCCCCTCACACTGGTCTGATTTACATTATTTACTGTTTGTCAAAACATATTAAATTAATGTTTAATATTATTATAACATGTTCATTTACCTAGACATACCCATGTATTATTTTTCATTATCTGTCAATTCTACAGTTTTGGAGAGTCTTTTTTGAAGATTGTTGTAAAATTCTTCATGTTCTAATCAATATACCCTAGGCCCTCTTCGTGTCACAGAATATAAAAACACCACTTGCACAGGTAAAGAGCTTCAGTCGCTCAGCCGCTGGTCATCACACACCACATCAGGATGAACTGCGGCCACCAGACATCCTTTACAAGACAGTGTGCCACCTTCTAACCAGGTATGTAATAACTGTCCATAGCATTCTTCTGGGCTGTGACACACATATGGTCTTGCAGATGTTTACCAACATTCTGGAGACGTGTATCACCTCCATCTTCAGAGCTGAAGATTCATTTTATTATGTTTGTGGTTTATTTAATAGTGCTGTCACTATATCAGCATTTGTTGTTTGAAGAAGGCTGTCTTCTTCACACTCACCACTGTGTAAACCTCAAATCCTGTTTGTTGTTTATCAGATCTAAGCTGCAGGTCTTGAATTAACACATTTATCAATTCTGGGATAATAATTAAAATCACGATGTGTTGCCATCCACTTAACGCTCGGTTCATATCATAACATAGTTATTTTCCTTAAATCTTTGTCTCCAAATATTTCCAATCATTATTCCTGCATCAGTAAGACACACTCATACAAAACAGGTAATCACTTTCCAAAGACTAAACATCTGATCTGAACTTGCTTACAAAACTTAATGGTTATTTTGCGGTGTTCACAGCACTGTTTTGCGACAGGGAGTGGACTGGTGCACAGTGTATGATTTTGTGTTTGACCGTCTGCGTGCAGTGCGACAAGACCTGGTGATACAAGGCCTGGGTTGTGTTGAGAGCATCCCAATTCTGGAACCAACTGTGCGCTTTCACAGCTATGCTGGCTACAGGTATGAGTGGTACTTTGCAACAGTTTAGTTCCTTAGGAACCTTTTAAACAAGGAAATGGATGATTGTGGAAGTAAAGCCACTGGAGAATGTCTCTTATTTCCTATAATTATTAAAAAAAAGTGGGAGCAACACTAGTACCACTTAATGCAGGGTCCTGAATTTTGTTGTAAGCACTCCCTTAAAAAAAATGTATTCTCTGTTAAGGTCATCTTTTGTATAATGTGAAACAATAAAGAAGTCTCAGAAAATTTGAGTTTATTTTTCCACTCGGCAGAGACAGGAAATAAATAAAGTATGGTAAATTTATTATACATATGCACTCTCACATGTCTTTCAGGTGCATGTGAGGAGGGGGGGGATACACATTGTTTTAATGTTGAAAATTATAGCACTGGAAAAAAGTTTGATATCATGTCTTGCAATAGTCCAGAGGCAAAAGCAGATCACCTAGTTGAATGATTATTATATTGAAAGTTCATTTTCTCTCTCTATACAGATGAAAACATTTAATTAGAAGGAAACAACACTTTTTGTTCAGTTCCATGGAATCAGAAGAAAGTGACTGTCATGTATGTTACAGCTTACTCACAGTATTCATGACCTTTCTAAGGAAAATCATGGAGACTCATATGAAGATACAAATTATGGTCTTTTAGGATCTGACTCCATGTAGTCTTATAGGTGGTTACCAACATTTCAGAGGAACATCAGGAGAGTCGCAACAAGACAATGAAACTGGGAACTTCTTACAAACAATTGTAGTCAACTGTCAACTTAAGTTCATAAAGTTCCTGGTTTGAATCTTATCCCTGGCTTCACATATTCAAAGGTACTCCCCCCCCCCCCCCCACCCAATCTTCTAGAATTCACTGTCAATATTTATTCTCTTAACATATTCAATGAAACTGCAGTCAAGATATAAACCAGTCACTTCCTAAATAAAGGTTAATCCAACAGCGCATTATACTACCCTCCTCAGTGGTGTCACTTATAGTTCAGAGTGACGAACCAGTCATATGGTGTTTCAGACTATGTGCAGAACCACTATCAAAGTTTGAACCAGCAATCAATTGCACTCACTTATTGGAATGTCTGAAGCGACTCCTTGTGCTTTATGATGACTGCCACAACACTTCGAGTCTTGAAGTGAGAGCAGATATGGAGGCACTGTACTTACTGATGGGGCTTGGTAGCTACCAGACACTCAGTAGGGCGCTGCAACTACCAGGAGAATTAAGGTGAAGTGAAGTCAAGTGAAATGAAATATTCTACACAATTCAGATACAGCCAAATATTTTAATCATGAAGATATCCGTCTTCTGGGTTATTGCGCTGTGTAGTCTGGTCGATGTTAACCAACGTTTCAGAGGTCATACTGC